GTTGGTGATGGAGAGTTGAGCTACAAAGGCCTTGGACTGAAGCTTGACAATGCAGAATCAGGTGAGAATATGTAGCTCTATTTCTTTTTTTTTTTTGCTGTTATTCCCTTGTGTGTGCTGTAGACATGAAGGTGATCCTTGTTGACTGCTTAAATCTGACAAATTGATCCCTGTGCTTTCAGCGGAGCAGCTGGCCCGAGACATCAAGCAGTACCAGGGTTTGAGAGCTCTACGCCTTGAAGGAAACACTCTGGGAGTTGAAGCTGCCCAAGCCATTGCAAAGGCTCTGGAGAACAAAGACATGCTTCAGGTGATTTCATAGTTCACCATTTCCCATCATAGTAAAGGATCATTTATCATTAGGATTTGATTGTTAGTAAAAAACCTTTCCAGATTATTTGTTTTAGTAATCTAATATTTCAAGTGCGTTTCAAACTACAACAAGTTTTGTTTAGTTGAAATATTTCATCAAAATTCTTCCATCTTGAATATACAATACTGTTACATTCCAACAGCATTTATACTTTACACTCTCCTGCAGTGTGATACATTCTGTTAACTGTTTCCATTTTTGGTGTCTTTCAGAGATGCTACTGGAGTGACATGTTCACTGGAAGACTACGCTCTGAAATCCCACCAGCCCTGGTGAGAAGCCACTGAGTTACACCCCCAATAAAAGGAATAATCCATCCTCTTACATACTCTTGAACTGTTAAATATTCCTTTCATGCATGAATTATGAAAACCTCAATCAGGTTTTTTTTTGTATTTTTATTCATCTTTAGGCATGAAAAAAGGTTTTTGAACTTAATTTTTTTAAACATGTACTTTTCAAAGAGTTTTTTTTATCATGTCACTCAATGTGACAACTGGAAGGGTATGAAGTGACACATCAGTGTCCAACGTAGTGGTGGTTTATGTGCAATCAGCACTGACACAAATACAAGAAAACAGCCTTTGAATAGCTGTCCACTGTAGTGACCACTATTCGTGAAAGGCATATCACATCAGTTTTCTGTGTATGAATGTTGATGTTCTTTTACACTTCCTGAAATTTTCTTGTGTTCATACATGCGCAGTCTAATGTGCTTTATACTAGTCTGTATTTTTGTCTATTCTTGTGCTTCAGAGGTCCATGGGGAGTGCAATAATGAGTGCAGGGGCCAGGCTGACTGAGCTGGACCTGAGTGATAATGCTTTTGGGCCAGATGGTGTCAAAGGAATCGAGCAGCTGCTTAAGAGCCCCTCCTGCCACACCTTGAGGGAGCTAAAGCTCAACAATTGTGGTATGGGGATTGGTGGAGGAAAGGTGAGTTCTCAAAAAGCTTTGTCAAATAATATATAGACAAAGACACATTTATTTATGTTAGTTGCCCATCAATCACACCCTGATTGTCTTATTTTAAATTTGCTATGGTTGTGTACAGAGGTACAGGCTCAAATTATGTACGTAAATGTTCTGTTCCTTTTGCCGTTTGCATAGTGATGGGCAGATGAAGCTTCATGAAGCACTGAAGCTTTTCATCCAATTGGTTCACCCCAGCGCAAAGCTTCTTGAAGCTTCATTTGCTCTAGTAGGACACCTACTGGACGTAAAAATATTAGTTGGCATGAATTTGAAGAGTGTGGCCTTTTGCACACAGCCTGTAAATGTCAACAACAAAAGGAGTGTGTAAAACATGTATATTGTAGTGATGGCAGTATACTGTGTATATTTATACTGGCAGTATGGAAAATGATTATTTGGAAATGCTTAAAATGGAAATGATCATTTACTGTGAGGTGTGGTTGGGGTGTGGACAGTGGTTGTGCTTTTGTAACGTTGAGGTATGGACAGCTACACACTGAGGCTTTGAGCCTCAGTCCTGCCTGTTCACATTTTATTCTGTAAAAACTAAATTTTCACTGCTTTTATGACCTTTTTAGTGGGGAGAACATAGCTAGGATTTAATGATTTAACAAATCTTTTAAATCCTTTGATGGCTCACCTGGTCTTGCTCCACAGTCGGTGTTCCCCTTATTCTCATGCAAAGCTCTGTAGTGCCTAAGCATGGATGAGGTGTTGTTGTTATATCCCAGCTCCCTGGCACATAGCAAACACTTCACCTTGTACAAAAGTCAAGACAGCTTAACATAAATTGTATTGCACCATCAGTATTATGAAAATACATCTTCTGTAGAAATTTACATACCTTGTTGGGAGGAATAAGATCAAAATGTTCCCACACAGGGGAGGACATCCTCCTCTTCTTAGCTGGCTCCATTCTCTCCTGACTTTCTCTCCTCACTCTCATAAACCTCCAAACTGTCTCCAAACTCTCACTAACCGCAACTCTCCATCAAACACCCACATTTTTGAATGAAGTCTGAGGGGTTTATATCGCTGTCATATCTCGCGGCAAAGTTCGAACCACTTCATGAACCAGTCACGTGGTACAGCCGGGCAGCGAGGCTTCGGACGTCATCATTTTCAGCTCCTCCCATAAATGAAGCAAGCCTCGATACGCGCATCGCAGAGTGCAGAATTATTAGGCAAGTTGTATTTTTGAGGAATAATTTATTATTGAACAACAACCATGTTCTCAATGAACCCAAAAAACTCATTAATATCAAAGCTGAATGTTTTTGGAAGTAGTTTTTAGTTTTAGCTATTTTAGGGGGATATCTGTGTGTGCAGGTGACTATTACTGTGCATAATTATTAGGCAACTTAACAAAAAACAAATATATACCCATTTCAATTATTTATTTTTACCAGTGAAACCAATATAACATCTCCACATTCACAAATATACATTTCTGACATTCAAAAACAAAACAAAAACAAATCAGCGACCAATATAGCCACCTTTCTTTGCAAGGACACTCAAAAGCCTGCCATCCATGGATTCTGTCAGTGTTTTGATCTGTTCACCATCAACATTGCGTGCAGCAGCAACCACAGCCTCCCAGACACTGTTCAGAGAGGTGTACTGTTTTCCCTCCTTGTAAATCTCACATTTGATGATGGACCACAGGTTCTCAATGGGGTTCAGATCAGGTGAACAAGGTGGCCATGTCATTAGTTTTTCTTCTTTTATACCCTTTCTTGCCAGCCACGCTGTGGAGTACTTGGACGCGTGTGATGGAGCATTGTCCTGCATGAAAATCATGTTTTTCTTGAAGGATGCAGACTTCTTCCTGTACCACTGCTTGAAGAAGGTGTCTTCCAGAAACTGGCAGTAGGACTGGGAGTTGAGCTTGACTCCATCCTCAACCCGAAAAGGCCCCACAAGCTCATCTTTGATGATACCAGCCCAAACCAGTACTCCACCTCCACCTTGCTGGCGTCTGAGTCGGACTGGAGCTCTCTGCCCTTTACCAATCCAGCCACGGGCCCATCCATCTGGCCCATCAAGACTCACTCTCATTTCATCAGTCCATAAAACCTTAGAAAACCAGTCTTGAGATATTTCTTGGCCCAGTCTTGACGTTTCAGCTTGTGTGTCTTGTTCAGTGGTGGTCGTCTTTCAGCCTTTCTTACCTTGGCCATGTCTCTGAGTATTGCACACCTTGTGCTTTTGGGCACTCCGGTGATGTTGCAGCTCTGAAATATGGCCAAACTGGTGGCAAGTGGCATCTTGGCAGCTGCACGCTTGACTTTTCTCAGTTCATGGGCAGTTATTTTGCGCCTTGGTTTTTCCACACGCTTCTTGCGACCCTGTTGACTATTTTGAATGAAACGCTTGATTGTTCGATGATCACGCTTCAGAAGCTTTGCAATTTTGAGACTGCTGCATCCCTCTGCAAGATATCTCACTATTTTTGACTTTTCTGAGCCTGTCAAGTCCTTCTTTTGACCCATTTTGCCAAAGGAAAGGACGTTGCCTAATAATTATGCACACCTGATATAGGGTGTTGATGTCATTAGACCACACCCCTTCTCATTACAGAGATGCACATCACCTAATATGCTTAATTGGTAGTAGGCTTTCGAGCCTATACAGCTTGGAGTAAGACAACATGCATGAAGAGGATGATGTGGACAAAATACTCATTTGCCTAATAATTCTGCACTCCCTGTATTAACAGATTTTTAAACATGTAACACTTTATTGTGTATTTGCATTATAGTTCTAACAGCATCCATGTTTGTATGTTTAATATAGATCTTGGCTGAAGCCCTGATTGAGTGCCACAGACAGTCATCGTCTCTTGGAGCTCCACTTAGACTAAGAGTGTTTATAGCAGGAAGGAACCGCCTGGAAAATGAAGGAGCTAGCGCCTTGGCTAAGGCCTTTCAGGTACAAAATACTCCCACCTTGTTCAGTTTTACATTACCGTAAATGTGACGTTTAGTAACTGTAATGATATTATGGACTTTTGATTTGGGAGGAACAAAGACCATTTCTGTTTCATGATGCAGTTTCTTCCTCGCTTTCACAACAGCTGATGGGCAGCCTTGAAGAGATTCACATGCCCCAGAATGGAATAAACTACTCAGGTGTGATGGCGTTAGCTTCAGCCATTCGACATAACCCAGAGCTTCGAGTCCTCAACCTCAATGACAACACTTTCACCAAGAAGGGCTCGCTGCCCATGGCACAGGTGAGTTCCATAATTTTTTTCAACAACTTTCTGTAAGCAGAGAGGACCTTTATCCGGTGTTTGACTGTGTCCCCGAATTCACTTGGCCTTATAGGCTCTGAGGCATCTCAGGAACATCCAAGTGATCAATTTTGGTGACTGTCTGGTCCGTTCTGAGGGAGCTGTCGCCCTCGCTGCAGTCCTGAGAGAAGGACTGCCAATCCTCAAGGTCAGTGTACGATCGCAGCTCAGGACTTGGTTTCCCTTTGTGTCTCTTCCATCTCACAGTCCTCTCTCATGCAACTTTTTTTCAGGAGCTTAATCTGTCATTTGGTGAGATCACTGAAGCAGCAGCACTAGTGGTGGCTCAGGCTGTTGCAGACAAAGCTGATATGGAGAAATTGGATCTAAACGGTATGCACATTGACCATGAAATGGGTCTTTATGTGTTTGGAGAAAGAAGGTCCAGGTTGATTGAACAATGCTGCAGAAATGTAAAATAAAAAGTTTCATCATTTCATTTTTAGTTTGAAACTGGTTTTGTTTGTGGCTGATAGGTAACTGTCTTGGAGAGGAGGGCTGTGAGGCTTTGAGAGAGGCTATGGAGAACATGAACAAAGGAGACGTGCTCGAGTCCCTCAGGTAACGCAGGCTTTAAAAATCCATAATCATTTTCAGTGTTTAACTCCACAAACATGCAAACAATAGATTTAAAACTTTCACTGCTACAGGTGAAGGAAGGTGATAAGGGCATGAACGAGAGAGATCGCGAGAGATGTCAGTGAGAGAAGTGATCAAAACACGTAGGAAAATGGTGGGCGCACTGATGATGTTAGCAAGAATCTGCGGGATGGAACTGCTTATGAGTCCCCGAATTCCGATGTGCAGGTGGGACGCCGTAGAGACACTGGCACACGGACATAGAAGAGAATGAAGAGGGCAGTGATGAAAGAAAACGGCATAACAACAAATGGAAATAGTCCTGTTTCGCCTAACAGTCCTGTAAGTTGAAGCTTTATTAGACGAACAGTTGCTTTCATGTGATTGTTGATCAGTTAGTTACTTCACATAAACTGGGAAATGAAAAGAGTTCTCAGTGATGTCTCTATGTTCGTCCACAGGCGGAGATCACATCGTTCCTCAGCTGCCCCTCTGCAGAACGGCTTCTCCAGCTGGGACAGTTGAGGACACACCTTCAGCAAGAGGTTACATGTTTTTAAGTAGTCAGCATAAGTGTTTGTAGCATGTTGGTGTTGGCGTGTTTTACTTTGCTGGAATGGGTTTAACCTGTTGCTGTCTTCTCACCAGGTCGATGCATCTGAGCCACAGAAAGCTGCTGATGTCATTCTGAAAATCGGTTCCCTATACAGTGAAGATCCGAGACCAAGGCCGCTGTTCTGGATACTATCGGTGAATAAAGTCACACTTACATTAGACTGATTCTGCTCCTCATTAGTCCCACATTTGCAGGATTCAAAGTTCAAAATAATCCTTATTTGTCTTATATTGGACCTTGGTGCCACCTCTCAGTTCATCAAAAACAAGCTCCTCTTAATTTAAGCCAACTTTCTTCTGATTGGCTGCCCCTCACAAACAAAAGGATTAAACAGCAGGTGGAGCTTTTCTGCTCACAGCTACAGCTGCATAAAGAGCCAAAAGTAGGAAAACTAAAGTCTGAGCTTTTAACATACAAGGATCATCAGCACAGACACTGCTGTCATTGTTTGAAACTTTTAATATGAGCAGGCATCATTGGAACAGTTTATATATGACTAATTAATGAGAACAACCAAATTAGGTCCTCTGTCACTTTATAGTCAAACATTGAAATGCAACACAGCACACCCTTTTCAAAGCTTTGGCATGCAGAGATTCCTCAAATATAATTGCACTGAGTGGGCTGCTTATTAGTGAGGACGTCAGTTTCTCTCTTGTGCTGTCCTCTTTTTCACGTGGATAGCTTCTATTCTCTGAGATTCTGACATGCAGTGTGTCACTGTGCTCCACAGATGCAATGTTGAAGAAGCTCCTCTCTGGTCCACCTCACACCTCCTCCCACTGCGCTGATGGCTATCAAGGTACTCCGTGCCCTTTTACACTCATGGAACTATACGATCACTTTACATGCCGAGTTCGCAGGGCTCCAATTGCTCGAGATGCACAAATTAAGGAATAGCGTTATCTTATCTCAGATTTCTTAGAGGCCTATACTTGAATTCACTATACTGATTGACAATGGAACAAGGTATTTGATGCTGATACTTCACTAAACTTTGTGGAAGTGTAGATCGGACTATTCAATTGCAAACGAATAACTAATCACAGTTACTTCATTAGTATACACACCTTAGTGTTAGTATTAACTTTTAAGGCCATCAACGTTTAGAAAATATGAACGTACAGGTTGGAACCAACTTCCAATGAATATCGTAAAGGTTACTTGCGCAACGCGGTGTAACCCCAGTAGCGCGCAAGGATCATAAGCCCTAGTGGAGCCGATTAGGAGTCCATGAGGGAAGAGGCGCTCATGTTTACAGTGAGCGACGAGGAATATGCGATAAATGCAAATTGCGGAAAAAAGTAACACAGCTCATCAGAAGAGCATGCATGGCCATCAAGTCTGCTGTGTTTTTAAATTGACTGGATTCCCCATTCACGTATTTTATTTATTTTATTTATCATTGTTGTGATATGTAGAGTGACACAGGCCAATCGGCCTAAAATTAAATATATCCACGTAGGTTATATGGCATAGTTTTCCAGTATCAACGTAGAGGTACTAATTCTTTCTGTAAGCACTTTGATTATCTGAGATCGCAATTTTACTCGTAGTATTGACTATGACGAGGACCGAACATGGGCCCCACCACATCAAGCTGACTTGCCATTGATATTGCGATACATGACATGACACATTCATCCATACTAATGAAATTGTTGAATACAGGGACGTACGTCTTATGTGTGGAAGTTCTGTATGTCTCATACTGAGAGCTATGGATGTGTCACTGTACAGCCATATGACCCAAAATGTAATTTATTAGTCAAGACCCATCGAATTGAGTTTGTACCTGCTATGCAATTTTGATCCCTCTAAATTGTCTTGAGGGACCACAGACAACAACGTTTCGTAATGACATCCGACTCCACAACGTACCAAACGTGCACGTCACAATATTATCGAGCTCCTTTGCAAAACGAAGGCAATAAATATAGTCAGCTGAATGTCGAGTTACATGACAATATACCGTTACAAATAAATTAATGCTACTATTCACAGAATATCGGAATATAAAATTCGGCTTATCACTTCCGGAGTGCGAAATTTTTAAACATGGCTTCAAGGGGAACGCCATAACTTCTAATGGTCGAAAGAGCGGGTCAGTGGAAACCTAGAGTTAGTTACATGTGTGTTAGAACTACTAGATTCTACTCCTGTGACCGAAACCAAGTTCGTTCCAGGGTTACTTATCAGGTGTACCGTTCCTGAAATAGGCCCTGGCTTGATGGTTCAGATTCACTCTGTTATATAGGTTATAAATCAAACAGATGTGACAGTCAACACAAAAAGGTTCAGACATTTTTCATTGTGCATGTTTGAAGAATATTTTTTTATATTTTATTATTACTGGAAAAAAGTAATAATAACATGAAGAGGGTTTTATACTGAACCTGGTGGTTAAAAAGTATTGATCCAGTACCAATACCAATCTATATATGGGTCAGTCCATCCACCATTCATACCCAAAAGATTTTTATTTATTATTTTAACATATTCACATAATTCCTATTAAAAAGCTGATCTTTGCCGAAAGTTTTCAGGCAAATCTGTAATGGCCAGGTTGTAAGTTGGTTTTAAATGTGGTGAGCCTTTTCTTTATTGTTTTTACTTCCAGGGAGAGGGGAAGACAAAAAAGGCTTTGCTGGTCCCGGGTCAGCTGCTATGTTTGGAACATGCTGTCCAGCAGGAATACTTCCCTAAGCACGATGCCTCACTGCTTCACATCTTCCTGTCCAGGTAGAACAGTCTTTCATCACCTCGACTTAGTTGAACTTCATATTTCTATTTAAATGTGTGTTAACCTGTTGCACGAGTGAGACCGCAGCCTCACACGTTCACATTTCTTTTTTTTTGACTCTTCAGGAACGGTGGGGTTCTCAAGTCATGCGGCAGTGCCAGAGAGAGGCTGAGCTCTGCTTTGGAGAGGAGGTGCCAGGATTAACACTTGAGACTGACACAGGGGCACACTCTGCACTCACATTCAGTTTTTCACCTTTGAATTATCCTTAAGGACGAGGGGGGGGGGGGGTCTAGCAAGGCCAACAGTAACCGATTCTTTGAATTCTTTTTTGACTTCAGGATTGTCGGATGTCTTCTTTCATGTGCGGATTTATTCTTATTAGTCAAAGGCCAAGTCCAACCACTGATTTCTGCTCCTGACATTCATATTTTATGAAGGCTTCACAGAGACTGTCCAAGAATGTCTTAATTTTTATTTTTCTACTTGTGCTTGTGACTTATATTTTTATAGAAAATAGATACAAATGCTTAAAAAAAAAAAATTCACATCAATCAGACTTGAGCTATGTGTTTAAATGAAATGACTGTAACCTTGAAGTGAAGGAAATCCTACATTTAGTAATTAATCAGTTAAAATTTACAAATTAAAAAAAAAAAGACAAAAACAGGATTTATTTCAGAAACATGCTTTTATATCTGTGGAAATCTCGGGTTACATATCATCAGTGTTTCTGAAATGCAATTGAGAAATTTTTAGAAGAGATCCCACCAGGTGTGGCAGACGCTGATACAACTACTGATTTTTGTGAAACCTGGTTCAGGAGTAGCTAAGCAGAAATTGTGATGCCAACATTATTATGATCCATGAGTAAAATAAATAAAAAGGTGTTTGTTTTATTAATGTATTTGAATAAATTCTTTAAGGGAAAGAAGAGCAACGTTAGGGAGAGTTTGTTTACTCACAGCTGTCATTGTGCTGCTCATAGGGACCAACCCATACTGCAGGATCATCGTGATCAGGGACCAGAATCACTTTTATTTGCAGTTTCTTATATGACTTTATGTTGCACAACATCCTGTGTATTACCTCATATAGCTCTGTGTGTTGGTGGTATGAGAATGGAATATAGCATTTAGATCACCTGTTTGATTGTGCATCTATTCCTTGAGGATAACTTTGGTTTACCTGATTAGTAATTTGTACCAAATGTTCTGTCTTAAATATAGTTCATCTAACAAACCTGACACCCTCTGTGTTTGTCTGAGTGTTTTCACAGTCTGTGCAAGCCGCTTGACTCCAGAGTAGATAAAAATAAAGCATGTCCTGCACTGGTTCTGCTACTTAAGCTCTTGCATGGGAATCTAGAGCTGTGAGGATCGAAGAATGTAATGTTTTGTTTTTTGTTTTTGAGTGGTGATGTTTATTAGCATCGAGTCCTCAGAAAGCTCCATGTTGAATCAAAACAGGTGAGATGAATAATGGAGCATCACAACAAAACACGATGAGTTAAACTTAAGGAATATAATCTGTCCAGTTAGGAAGCAGAAACTGTGATGAGTGTAGCTCACCTGCTTTGGTGTAAATAAAAGTGACAACAGGTGCATGAGAGGCAACAGAATAAACCCTCCTCTCACAGATCATTGATCTTATCCCTCCTGACTGATTCTTGCCACTACTGCATGAGACTGTCCCTGCATCGCACTGAGGCTTCACAGAAAGTCCAACTCCAGGATGACATATCCATAAGTGCTATCACAAGAAGGTACAGACTAAAGTGTGGAGGAGATGTGAGGAGCCGTGGATAGGGCTGTAGAATAGCATCAACCTAGCAGCAGGACCGGTGGCTGCTCAAGTGTATGAGGAGTGACAAAATGGTGGCTGCAGATGACAAAATGGTGGCTGCAGTGCTGGATGCCTTATTACTCCTCTGACCTTGTTGTTTGTAAACGTGAAGTCTATATTAACTCAAAGATTCTGTTTTTCTAGGCAATTACAGAGCAGATGCGGTGGCGAAACCTGAATCAGAATGACTTTATCCCCAAGGGGCAGTTAACATACAACAGAGCAGCATGACGTTGAAGAGAAGGACATAAACAGGCAGTAAGAGATAATAAATACACAGAATATACAGTATATACACAAATTACACAGTTTTGCAATTAAAGTGACTGAAAGGTGAATAAATAACTGTAAGTGAGTAAAGTGTCGGCAGTATAAAAAGAGTCAGTCCTGCAGGAAATGCAGCAGAGGCATCGCCCAGAGGGGAGCCATTGAAATGCGGAGTGAAGAATGTAAGCGGGGTCGTTGATGATTTTGGCTGCCTATCTAAGGGCGTGTTGGCTGAAAACCTGTGCAAGAGATCTGACGGACAATCCAGTGACTTTAGAGCACACTGATGCAGTGACTGGAGTGTTTCCACAGCTGGGGGGGACAGCGTGACTGTCAATTGAGTGTTGAAATAGAGTCCAGAACACACGTCCTACAGTGGGGCCACCGATTGTGCAAGTTCCCCCACTTAAAATGATGACAGAGGTCAGTAATTTGCACCAGAGGTACACTTCAACTGTGAGAGACAGAATGTGAAAAAAAAAAAAATCCATGAATCCACATGGTAGGATTTGTAAAGAATTTATTCGTAACTACAAACAACGACGACAAACGCCATCTCCTAATTTACTATAACTACTAAATTTTGTCGTGTCACACTGGTTGGCAAACCAGATTCTCTCTTTTCCCAAAAGTTAACGTTGTTGTCCTGCAACCAGAGAGTATTTATTTGCATGTGGATAAACTATCATATTTATAACAACAGTGTATGTAAATTGACTATTTTAACCTTGATTGTAGTAGCACATGTAGCTAAGGTTCTTCATTGCATGTGTGTTTGTGTTATTAGGCAGGTTTAATGCATGTCTGTGGAGCTGCATATCCAGCAGAGCATGTTCTTAAAGCTGCCTTTCCTACACACTTCTCTACTATTATTTGATCATTTCTTAACTAATGTGCTATGAGTCC